TATGTGATAAGTGCCATTTGAACAAATCGTGCGTGAATAAGTATTTGGAATGTTATGTCGAGTTATGTACGATTGTATTATACCAGTAGATTGAAAATTAATTGTCGTGGGTCGACCAGCGACGTCGTTGGTGATAATGCTTGTCGACGCGATTTTTTTTTATTTTAACGCTGAAGCTGAAGTGATAATGAGATCGGGATGTAATCTCTCTGAGCGTACGGCTATAATCGGCGCGAAATTCTCGCTCGGAGAAATGAAAGAGTAGAGAGAGAGAGAGAGAGAGAGAGTAGAGAGGGAGAGGGGAGAGAGCGAGAGAGAGAGAAAGAGGGAGAGTGGGCCGAGTAATCTGGGGAAGAGGACGCTTACTTTGTAAATTATTGAACATCGATAAGAGTCGTCGTTCATAAGATGTTCCTCGTTAATAAGTGATGCATTTAACAACCATTCATTAGAGCTACTCGCGCATATAAGCTCAGAATGTGACAATTCTCGTATCCACATGATGCAGTTTATATTTTGCCGATGTGTTTTCGCTCAATATTATGGCGGACTTAGCACGTGTCGCGCGTCGATTGATCTGCTGTTCATCCTTGTGTCATTTGAGAACTTACGGTATATTGAACGTGTTGCCTTGCTTGTTCGCATTTCTAGAATCGTGTGCCTGGATTAGAATCGATTCAAACAATTATTTCAGGTGTTAATCGCAACATCATTCCGTTTCGCAATGTACTTGACGTGAGACTCACCTCGGTACTCAGCAATCTCACGGGAATCGAGGATTTCATTAACAGTTTCATGCGCCTTCAAGGTTATTAGATATACCAAGGTATATGCTATATATCCATTTTACAGAGAATCGGAGAAATTGCGATACGCGCGTTTTTTGTTTCTCTAAATACGCCCGCGAATTATTTCTATTACAATTCTATTACAAGCGTAGAGTCGTTTCGAGATTTACAGCATCTTTCTCGATTTCCTATCTTTCTGTGTTTGATTATTTCTGTCGATCAAACTTTCTTTTTCCTGTATGTTTGGTTTTACTTCTCGTTTCCTTTCAGGCAACGAGAACACACGCGATGGGGAACAATTCTCGTGCGAACTCGTAAGAAGTGTGCGAAATGTTTGTTAATTAATTAGGTTTTTCGAATCAATAACGATGTTAACGTTCCTCTCAACGTTACTGCGTTTATACATATGCAATACAATTTTATGAATTTTTTTCCACGCGGACGAATGCCCAGCCCTCGTACACAGTCGACCATTCACTCTCGTTTGTCTTGTCTCTTTCTCTCTCTATCTGATGATCTCTTTGGTAGTCTCACTTTCTCTTCAGTCGCCATCTCATTCCTTTTTTCGCCGTCGCGCGCGTATGCGGACTAATTAATATGAGCTGTATACGAGCCCATCTGCCCGGCACAAGGTCCACCTATACGGGTACCGACCTGACTACGCGATATAACGATCTCATCAAGGTCGTATCACGACTTCACCGTACTTTGCTGGACTGGAAGTGTTGAAAACGACCGGTATATTACGCGCGAAGATTTATGCTGCGCGGCCGAGATCGAATTTAATTTCCTCAAAAATCGTTTGCAATCAATTATAAGATGCTAATCGTGGTGCTTTAACGAACCGCATCACGGAACGGATTGACCTGCCATGCGAATTTTTTTATTTATTATTATCATCTTTTAACCTTGATACTCACTTTAATCTTAAAATTTACATTTATATTAATAATGACAGTTATGTGTACACGTTCCAATTATAAAAGAACGTTGGCAACACGTTATTTAATATATGGATGCACGTATAATGGAATCGATTGGCATAAAAGTGGGGCAGTAGTGTATGCTTGCATTTACGTCACTGAGTATTCATGCAATTAATTTTGTCAATCTAAAGAATGGCGTATATTAATTGGGAACTCTACCGACAAGTGCATACCATATCTTGATAATTTCATGAGACATTCTATCTATTTCTCTCGTCCTTCTTATGCAATGATGGATTAATATACTTTTTTTATTAATGCTTTTAACGTAATAACTGTTTTAAAAATCAAATTACTATTTTTCGCATTAAATCTTTATAAAATGATCTGACATGTGATTTTGAAATTGAATTTGTCATTGATGAAACTTTATTCTAAATGAATAAGTGATCTCGGATGTTCACGAAATATCCATGAGTTTTCGCCAGACGTTTGGAGTACAGCATTCGCAAGGTGCGAAATCCCGACGCATTCTCATTTACACTTTCGTACATGTGCATCGCGTATTTCGCGTCCTATATGTATATCGCGCATTCGTCGGTGCAACATGCATCACACGTCACGGTGTAGTGACACTTGAGTGGAAGCGACCGGGGAAAAGAAAAAGGTAAAAGAAAGCAACACACACGGTGACGAAGGAACGAAAGAGAGAGCGTAAGGGGAGATTCAAAGTAGGGGCTCCCTTCATCATCGGGCGTTGCTTCCGACTGCGTCGTCCCTGTCGGCTTATAAATAACACCATCTCCCTGTTTCTTCGTGTGTTTCTCAGTTTTTCTTCTTCCTCCGCTTCTTCCTCCTCCGACTCGGCTTCCCCTGCCTGGGAGATACTTGGCTGCTCGGCAAGCCTAATTAATAACACGTGATGAGCGATCGTGGCAAAACCTCCCGAGCCGAAAGATCGCAAGCGGAGCAAGAGAGCCGACGAAGAGAATATAAGAGAGAGTGAGTGACGGGAGTGACGTGGCCTGGACTAGACATCACGAAGAGCTTCATTCGCGATAGTTAGAGATACTGCAGACAAGCGTACTGTTGTGGAAGATCTACATACTGAAAAGACAGTGAATACATTATTTATATCTCGATGAAATTAAAAATTTTCTTGCGTAACTATTACAAGGAAACATAGAATCGTAACCAAAATAATTCGTCATGATCAAATATGATAAAGTATGCTTTGAATTTTATATTTAAAATATTTAGATCGTACTTTTTTATTTTAATAAACATTATTTCTTATAATTTGTGCAAAGTCTTATGTCAGTACGAAGGATATTCGTGATGTTGTTCTCACACGATCGAGAGTATGCACGAGAGGGCTCGTGCTACGTCGTGGTAACTACGTCGTTATTGGTCGGGGAAGCAACAAAACCGTCGGATATAGAGAACACATTGTATATAACGTCGAAGGCGAGAAGGAGAGACGAGAAACACATCGTGGCGAATCGTTTCCTCGCACCATCTCGCGAAGGAGCACCCGGGTGTTCTGTGTTGTGTGTTCGTTACTGGACCGATACCATCTTCGCTTTTTCTTTCCCGTTCTGTCCCTTTCTTTCTCTCTCCCCCTCTGTGCTTCATCGCGTTCTTGTTTCTTTTCTTTATCTATTTCTACTCTCGCCCTTTCCTCTTTCTTCTTTGCTGTCCGTTCGTTGACGAGGAGGAACCCTGAAGTGTCGAAGACCTGATACATATTTCTTTGACGCTGAGCTGACAGTCTGTCATCTACAACGTGGACAATTGTTCTTTATTCTATTAGCAAATTCACAATTCTTCGCTATAATCTTATAGTAATTTCAATTTCAAGCGAATCAATTTCCGAATAGGATTATTTGCAATACTTTCGTAAGTTTGGATGCAACATTCATAAGCTTTATTTTGATGCACGAATTCTTTTTTGTTGTTATCGTTGCTCTTTTCTGGATAAGTCACGTGTTAGTAGGGAAACAGTATATAATAATAAATTTTTAGTAAATATATAAGTCTCATAATCATTATTCGTTTTATTACACACCCAAAATGTTCTTTTTACTATTTATCCCATACAAGCTTTGAAATGCATTTTGGCGAGGTGATATCTCGTCCGCTTGCCATTCATGGTAGTTACAGACTCGGCGTTATACCTGCCTCGCTTAGAGCGTATCCTTCCATGGCGAAAGGATGATGAGGAGGCAGGAGGTAGTTGGTAGGCCTCGGATGAGTTCACTATCTCAGGAGCACTCATCGCGACCGCTTCGTTATCGGCCCTGTAGAATCATAATGGACCATAATTGCATAAATATAATGTTAATTAACAATTAAGATTGCCGCTTTGCCTAATTGAATCGCCGCTTCTGCTGTCTCCGAAAGAAAACGACGTTGCCGCAATGTACGGTCTCCTCTTCACGAAGAGATTGCATAGGGGAATCTCGGGTGGCCTTAAACGTTAATGGCGTATCGGAAAATTATACCGACGGTCCTTCCGAGGACACACTTTCGATACCGCGGACACATCTAAAAAAGAAAGGAAAAAAAGGAAAGAAAACAATTATTACCTTTCGATGCCGCACCGTTGTTGCTCCGACTCGCTTATCGAACTTTATATTCTGGTATTTTTCTTCTAAACGTTTCGATAGACATGCATTGCACACACCGTGCGTTGGAAATATCGCCATTTTTTTCCGGCAATAAATTTTTTATTATTTTTTTTCTCTTTTGAAAATTTAAGAAAATAGAAAAAAAAGTTGCTAATCGACGATTAATGAACATTCTGCCGGCTCCTTGTATTTCTATGGTCATTTACCCGTGATATCGAAAATCATCGTATACGCTGCGCGAATTCTGTACGACCGGGCATTCAGATATGCAATTAGCGAAACGCAAATGCAATAATAATGAATTCCCGTTAATAACCGTCGCGCCACCGCAACTATCGCTGTCTCGTCGCAACGGTGATATCGCGACGGAAGAGATAAATGAAAACACGAGCGTGCAAATAAAAAATAAAGGTTGAATCCGCGCTGGAGAACTGTGACCGTCGATCTGTTGCCGAGTTGCCGTTGACGATGCAGCAGCGTGTGGTTAAATCATGTCTGCTTCATGTTCCTTCTACCCTATCGTCTTCCCCGATCCCTGCAGCCTTTCCTTCGTCATTTCTTTTCCTCTTCGAACCAGCCTCTTACCATCCAATATCTTTTTTCTGCCTTTGCGTTCGGCGAATGTATTTTATTCGATTCTTTTTTTCTCATTTCAGATGGTTCAAGCGATTCAGGTCCTCCGGTTTCACCTCCTCGAGCTCGAAAAGGTGAGTATCCTTCACGTCTGCATTATAAGGCTCATAATGTTCTTATCAATCCAACTGTGGGCGCGATTCGTTACTGTAGTCAACTATTCCTTCATTATCTAACATCGTATCTATGTTTTTTTTAATTAACAAATAAATTTTTGTTTAAAATTGTTTTCTATAATCAGTATATTTTATTTTAACATCGTAGAAAATGTTATTTATTCTAAAATTATAGTTATTTTAATTTTTAATTGAATATATATAGTGTAATTCTAGAAATATTATTAGCTTATATAGACTCCTCTGTTACAATTTCTTCTTTAAAAACTTTGCGTGAAAATCATGTGTCTGTTGCTGATGCAAAAAGCAGTTTTCTACTTAAAACTATAGTGTAGTGGTCGATTGGAAATTCTCGCGATCGGTCTTATTGTGAGAGATTACCGCGCCCGCTTGCCAATAAGTTGCCTTTAACACCTGAAAAACGACTGTTATGACTGCGGGGGCAATTTTCCGTAATTGCGGTGAAAGCTTGACATCTACGGCGCATTCGTCGAGACTACGACGCGAACCGACTCTACACGTAAGTGGAGTCATTTTGCTGTCCAATGGTTGGACGGACGCTTTACCAACTTCGCAATTGTTTGCTTTGGAACGGTAGTTCCATTTCTTATTTTTTTCATCCTTTTTTTATTTGTTGCAACACCTTGCCTTCTTTCCGATTGACGAAATGAAATGACAATATGCGCCGATATTTTACCAGCCGGTCAGTCAGGACAGTGTGGAATTACATAGCCATATAAACGGTGAAAGTGAGACATCTGTTGAGGAAAATTCCAAGACCATAGACTTTTCATCAGCGATGCGAACGAAAGAACTCTTGACTGGTTACTGTGTTTTACGAGATTCTGCGCATTTCCTTTTTCCTTGCATTGCAATGTTGGCGAGAGAGGTAGGCTAATAGAGCTCTCCCGATGCAACGTGCATGGATTTTTCGATAGGTCCTCGCTCTCTTTTTGGACGACTATGCCCGCAGGATACGAAAGCTGGTTTGGTTTACTTAGACGTTTTTGTGGCGATATTTTATCATACAAAATAGCGGACTTCCATAGCATTTTCATCGAAATGGCAGCTGATGCCAGCCATTGGCCGCCGTGCACTCGAGACCTCTTCGTGATGCTTCGCTGTCGATCGGCCCTCTCACTCGTCAGGTTCGATCGCGCGTAATTTTATAGCATTTTTTTCATTTATAGCGTTTATAATCACATTATAATGCCGTACTACCCGCGGCGGATTCACGTATCTTCGATGCGCCAAAGTCAGCATAGTCCCATGAAGATTTATATTTATCTATGACGGAAAATTTTGGCTCAAGTTCCACTTTGGCGTCATGACGCAAATGGAATACGTATCAGTAAAATGGAATCAGATATAATATGAATTTTGTAGCAACTTTGCATAAATACTCGACATGGCACGTCTCAGATTAGATGAAAAAAGGCATTAAGTTAGCGCATAAATCATCGAATGCTTTTCTGCTTTCGTATCGGCTTATCTGCATCAAGCCAAATGAATTTACTAATTGGAGCTTGCTCGAAATTACAGCGACGTTTCAGTTTATCGCGATAACACCTATTACTCGTTAGCTGTGCCTCTAAATTTGCCCTCGTTAATGGAAGCACACGATTAAAGAAATTAGCAGACGCGCGTTATGAGAGATAACATGGGCAGCAACGGGTGTATTCTTTAAATGCTGGAAACGATGTTGACATATTGTCAATGCCGCGAAAATACTCGATACTCGATATTCGGTTACCATTGTGTATAAAATGGACTTTCTCATGTGTGTCGAATCCCTACTCCCGAAGTCTGTAGACGAAACGCGGCTTGGCACGCCATCGATGGTAACGGAGATTGAAACGTTTCTGGTCCCCGGGGCCTCTTCTAGACAAGACGAGACGAGACGCGAACGAGTGGAGCGGAATGCAGCGGGCGCGATGAAGAAGATTCCATAAATATCTGTGCTCGAGGTAGAGGAGAGAAAGATGAACAGAGAGAGAGAGAGAGAGAGAGCGCAGCATAGAGAACGGGAGAGAGGGAACCAATGGAGGCAGGCTCATGGTAGCCCGCGGTGCTCTGCCTCGTGCATTTAACATTTTCGAACCAATCGCGTATTAGCATAATTACGTTTTGCCGGGCCCGGTGCGCGGAAGGAAGGTTCGGTCAGGCCCTTTTCCCTTCTCTCTCTCTCTCTCTGCCTTCACGGCATTTTCTGATGGCGCAGTCGTCTCTTTTTCTCCCTTTCTATCATCTTACTCGCGTTCTTCTCTTCTTCCATCGTAGAACTCCGGACAACTGCTTCCCGTACACCGGTTAGAGAGCGGTAAATTTCTTATGGGATATTATGGCGTACACAGTGCATACCAACGGGATTCGTACGGGTACAACACGCGGGCGACCTCCTCCTGCTCATGGACGTGCCACGTACGGAACTGGTTCTAAACCTATGCTAGCGCACGTCGCTCTCTCCTGCTGGAATATCCTTGTGCTTCAACACATACGTACGTGCCATAGGAACTTTTAGATATTTCTTACCACGGAATCTTGACCGAGACGCTATGGAAATTAAATTTTAAACTGCTTCATAACGAGATTTTTATACATGAATAGACATTTCTTATAAATTTATTCAAAAGGTAACGTACGTCACAAGTTTATATGTAGAATTTGCTGAGATTTTTATTAGAAGGAATACATGGATAATTTGATAGTCGGCAAAAAGTTTGAGTTTCTCATCGTCATCGTTATCGCGTAGTGGGAAGGAAAGGAAGCGATGACCCCGATCGTTCGACATGCACACCCGGTATATAGATATCCTGTGCGTGCCGTAAGGGTGGTCAGGTTGCGAATCAGGCCACGAGAGAGGGAGACCGAGACAGACACCCCGAAACCTTCATTACCTTCGGCTTCAAAGGAGCCCATTGTGCCGTAAATGGGGTTCCCCGTGTTCCTTCTTTTCTACTCTCTCGCTCGTATGTACCTTGGATCCGTTCCATTCTTCGGCGTTTGCCTTTCTGAGAGTCCGTGAAGAGGCGAGGTAGGAAGGAAGAGGCGGATGTAAGATAGGGAGACGTTTACCCGTTCTTTCCTTCGTTTACGTAAATTTTCGAGCAATTTCGAGGCCGAATGAAAGACGGTACCGAGGTCTTCGAGTTCGTATAATGTCACAGCGTGCCAAGTACTCTCTTTCCTTCCATGACAACAGAGTGGCTGAGAAAAAGGGAGAATCGTTTAAATGTTCTCCTTGAATGGAAAACTGGTTCCGGAATAATTAGTCTCTCTTCATTTTTGAAACGATCTGTAGACACATGGAATAACGATGCAATAGATAACAAGTTTTTAATTCCTATGCGCGTACTTCCGCGCGCGCGCGCGCGCGCGTGCATATAGTTTATTATTTTAAAGTAATTACATTAGTTATATGTGTACGCTACATTCTTCATGTCATTAAAATTTAAATAAAATCAAAATCAGGATTCTTGTAGTAATTTCGATGGAGATCTGGATTTTGATTCAAAATCTCGTATGCGCTTCAAGCGCAGCGCTTGTCATGAGGAAATATTGTCGAAAGCAATCGTCCAATATTCAATAAAGCAATTCGATTAAAGAGATGTCTTTGCAAAAGCCATCATTGCCATGAAATTATTAAATAGCTCTATGAAACGAAAATAATTTTAAATTAGTCATTTTCGAATGAATCTTTTGTGATATTTTTACATCTCGTTATTTTGTTCTTTTATTAAAAAAATTTGTAATAAAATTCTATTACTTAACTCTTTTTAAATAATCGCGTAGACGCGATGACGATGACTGTTTTATTCACGCGATTAATAACTCAAGAAGCACTAACCGGAAGATGAAATCGCTCATCGATTTCGAGTGGTTATCATTTCCGTTTTTGCTCGAGAACATCGATGGAAATAGTATCATCGCAGCTGTTTAAATCTTTAATCGCAGCGTCCTTACTAAAAGTTTAATTCGATCGATACTAACCCTCGATTCGAAATTGAATCGTAATTTAACTTGTGCTAAAACTTTAAGTAGCATATTCAGATCCCGAGGACTATTTTCGTATGGCGTCCAATTACGGACGTAGGGCGGGGTTCGCAACCCGAAATTTGTTTCGATCGTCTTCGTTCGCCAGATAACGGGCCACTTTGTCGTATCGCGCACCACACGAGATATTCTCGGACAACATTCTCTCTCCGAAAAGATTGGACCTAACTACGTTGTCCTTTTGCTATTTCGATGACCGCCAAAAGCGATCTCAGAAAAGGGAGATGCGAGCGATCGAGCGTCTCGTCATATCATCGGGGACGACCTCCCTATATCCTGTATCAGTTCCCTCTGAGATCATCGTCCACAGTATAGGATGACGCGATTCAATGGTAGGATAGATTGCAAAAATTCGCGTGTTCCAAGGAGATCGTATTATGTTTTATGGCACAGTTGAAATTTCCATCAGTTATTGAGCTCCTATCAAGATATTCCTCCTCTTACGAGATGTAATTAATATCAGTTTTACTTATTAGAATTAATCTGATAAATTAATATCTCTTTTCACAAATATTTTGATTTTATTTTATCTTACAAATTATTTTATATTTTTTTATTATTATTTTTTATTTTTTTATTATTATTTTTTATTTTTTATTTTCAAGTTGATCATTTGCGCAAATCGTGACAAAATTGAAATGCATTTCTAAAATTTTAAAAAAATGTTGAAATCAAAGCGCAAAGGATTGATTCGATGCGTTAGACAGTAAAAAAAGGGAACGCAGACTTTTTCTTTAATTTTTTTTCTGAGCATTGTCACTCGGTTCGACTCGACTCCCAGTGGATCAAATTCTAACCAGTTCAGCATTATAGCCACTGTCCTTCGAAGTCCTTCATCGTTTTCTATCCACCCTTAGATTCCTGTATTAAAGAGAGAGTTTAGTCATCCCGAGGAAGGCATTGTGTTACTGCGGTGATACGTTGAGGCAAATAGCGCAGGAAAAAAGTTGGTGCCGCAATGGAAGAAGCGCAGTCAATGGACCGGAGGTTGTCGCATTATCGGTCTCGATGAGAGGCCCCTTAGTTTTGAAGACAGGTAAACGAGCGTGACGAATGTTCGCCGATCGATGCAAAATACATCGTCGTTTTATAGTGACTTCGCATAATACACATAACGATCTTATTGATCGCTCCTAATAATATCGTCATTGAGTCACCTTTTGCAAGCTAAACGAAAACGATTTGATAATCTCGCAAGCTTATCCGATATGCAAACTGTTTGCTTGGACTGGTGGTTTCTTTGCAATATCGATTATCATGAGCACCAAGTAAGTTTCTATATATCTGCGCCTATTTCTATATAGACGATGTACGTTCATTTACCTTTCTCACTTCGAACACTCAAGAACGAATTTCTCGTCCTCGAGTTTCTTGGTCGGTCAGGAGAAACCCAATTGCGAGTCTTTTCGCATGCGCTTAACGGATAATAAACATGTGCATTGTCCTACGTTCTTGATGCACGCTACCATTGGACGGTGCCGCCTACGGCAAAGATGGCCGTCTTCTCTATTATATATAAATGCTTAATAAGAGTATTATAAGTGAGCTCTAGGCCAATAGAGGTGGGCATGGTAATGCGTGCATGGTAGCCCCGGGAACGAAAAACGATGGAAGGGAGGGTGTACGTTTGCGAGAGCCGCGGCTTCGTAATATCTCTACTCGCCGACGATTTACATATAACAAGATAACGAATTTTATTTGCTTTTGCTTATATAATACGTTTATTCTAAACGAAATCAAGGAGGCGAATCAAGCAGAGAAGGATAGAGTGAGGGACGGGGAATAGGGTGAGGGTTGGAGGATGAGTCGAAAGAGGAACGGAGGAGGATCGGCTATCCTATAGGCCTGTCAGGCTTCATTTGCATACATAACATTCTGGTCGACTGGACACCGGTCAGATCTCCTCTCTGTCTCCCTTTCTCTTGCGCTCCTTCTACATTCGTTGCATCGGTTTCTCTTCAGCTATCAGAGGCCGCTTCCACGGCCTCGAGATGCGCGCACAATCCTTCTCCTCCATCTTCGTGTATCGATACGCCGCGTCTCTCTTTTACTTTTTATTTCTTTTCTTCTCTCTCTCTCTCTCTCTCTCTCTCTCCTTGCGTCTCACACCACACAGTAAGACTCTGCATCGGTTGGATCCATTCGATGGAACCTATCTATTAATCATTTCCGGCGGTGCGGTTAATCAGCCGCGTCCTGTTGGAAAGTATCTTTTGGAAAACGGTATCTTGGTTCACCAATGGAGAACCGATCTAATTGGTTCTTGAGTCTTCTTCATGACTAACGAATGTTCTTTCTTTTTTTTCACATTCCAGGTGCACGAGCTGTGCGACAACTTCTGCCACCGGTACATCAGCTGCCTGAAGGGCAAGATGCCGATCGACCTCGTGATCGACGACCGAGAGAGCTCGAAGCCACCCGAGCTGGGTAACGGTCTGGACGGCAGCGGACCCAGAAGCACCGCTGACAGCACCAGCCACACGGACGGGGCCAGCACGCCGGACGTCGTGAGTACCTCACCATCGTCAACGTCTTATTATCCGCACGACGCGCTCACCCCCCACCATCACCATCACCATCACCACCATCACCATCACCAGAATAATAACAATAATAATAGTAGTCACGCCGGAATCGGCAGTACCGCCACTACCACCCCCTTGCAACTGAGCAACCAAAACCAAAGCCAAAACCACCACCCTACGCCGCAGTCGAACACCACCACTACTACTGCTATTACCCCAAGTAGCGCCGCCACAACTCCCAACTCCCTAAAGCGTTCGCACCAACAGATGATGATGGCAGCCGCGATGGCCACCTCGCCGCACGCAGCCGCATCCGTGCCCCCAGCGCACGCGCACGCCGCCCTCGCCGCCTACCATAGCATTAGCTCGGCCGTTTATCCGTGTTCGTAATAGACCACGCGACTTTCGTGCCGATTTCGCGAGATCCCTTCTTCTTCTTTTTCTACTTCTATCTTATTCCTTCCGCGACATTATTCTTCTCCATAATTCTATCTCTTCTTTTTGCCATCGTGTTTTGCTACTTCGTCTTCTTTATCTGGTTCATCTAGCGTCGAACGTCCGATCGGATAGATGTGATAGGATACGTAGGAATAGCACCATTTCTTCAGGATCGGTCGCGCTCGCGATCGATTCCGTCCGTCCTTTAAGGAATGATTGATCTCTCTCTGATAAAATCGAAAGTGTGACCAGTATGTCGTGATAGTTGAATTACAACTAATAGTAAGCTAGATCGGAGACATTCTCCGATTTGCCTTCGCGGCGAGATCATACACGCGTGGGAGTCGAAACACACGAGTCTATGCCAGGGCAAACGGGTCTGTACTCTATAGGAAGACGGTACCTAGCACCTGATCGATGTTAAAACGCGTGGGTAGCAGCTTAGTTCTATTAACGTCCTCGACCTTTCCAGAAGGAAGAGAACATTGAAGTAGGATATGCTAATTCGCAGGCCCTATGCGAACTAGAAAGGATCTTGTATTGTTGGACCGGCGCTACTTGTTGGAAATCTTTTGGTATATTTAATTTCCATAAGTGTTTCGGATTGCTCCGCGAACAGAGAATGAGTTTCTACGGTATTCGGCTTGTTTTGACGGTATTCGTTAATTCTGTCTTCTTTTTATTATTTTGTTGTTTATACATTAATCGCTTGAAACTGTAGAATTTATTTATTCGTCACATTCTTTATGTTTAGTCTTATAAAATATTACTTGTGTGTTAAGATTCCTTGATAAGATTTTTTAATATTACGTCTAAAATTGGAAAGAGAGGAGGGAGAAAATTGGATAGAGGACTTCGGTTTTAACAAGTCGGGTGTTAGAAATCCATTGTCTTCTTGGATCCGTCAGGTACACTCTGTGTTTTCTCCAACATTCTCATGTACTTCACTTCTTGTGACGATTAAGAATACTCTTCATTAATTTATTTTAGATTTTTGTACAACCGTTCCATAGATTCGACGCGAATTCGATTACATAAGGTTTCATAGCGTGGTAGAAGAATGTTTCTAAATTTATTTCGTGCCAGGGAGGCAGCGGTCGCCCGTTGACATCGGTTATTACTCGAAGCGATTCGCTTTCAAAATATGTTCAGAAATATTCTCGCCTGAAATCTTGCCTAGGAAATCAGTCGTAATGGGCTATTATCGGTGCGAAAGCGCCGAATGAGCTTGCGGCTAGTTCGCAGCCTTATGCAACCAATTCTGTGTTTTGCTCTTCGTTCGACCGAGACATGGTCTGTTCTATTTATCTGCTATCCAGTAGTTATTAGAAATAACGAGATGTGCGGTTCGCGCGCGTAAACTTCTTCGAGAGTGAAACGTTCGTTTCATCTCGCGCTTCTCTTTTTCTCTCATTCTCTCACAGCCTTCTCTCCTGTCTCTCCTTGAAGGTCTCTCGCGACATGGCACGATGGACGGGACAGACATGCGAGATATTTGTATAAAAGAGCAAGTATTGGAGGAGGAAGAGGAGGAGGGCGCGTTCGCGGTCTCGTGCGAGAAACGTCGTCAACGAAGTAGGTCGCTGAGTAGCTAGAGATAGGGTGGCTAGAGAGGCGCGAGAAAATCGAGGTACGGTTTCACTGGTTCGTAAGCGTTTTCAGTTCGAATAAGGCAATCGAGCACCAGCACGAGAGAGAGAGAGAGAGAGAGAGAGAGGTAGCAAGAACAATATACGCGAATATTACTTCGACGTCACGTATCAATGAAACCGTATCAGATGTAACGGAGAAAAGAGACAGCCGATTATAACTGAGTCGTAGTTATAAGATGGGCGAATAAGGCACGGATAATTCGTATGTCGGTGTTCCGCTTTTTCTTCTTTCTTATTTTCTTATTTTTTTCTTTTTTTTTTTTAACACCGTTACTGACCGCGATTTATATGCGGGACGCTATGTAGGGACGAGAGCACACGCGCCTCAATAGCTAACAGCCTCGATGCAGCGCGCGTTGGATGATGATCGATACTATCGCGCGCGGTAGGCGTGTTTACGACAGACATTATATCGTCTACGCGGCGTCTACTTTCTTTAGGTAGCCTCTCGTGGGCGTACACGCGCGTATCTTTCTTCGTTGCGTCGCGGCGTCCATCTTCCTCGATCGAAATCATAGTAACGAGGACGAGTTAGCTCGGAAAACCGATATCGATTAGATTCGTTGGTATTAATCGTGATTTGGATATACGTAATAGGATTAAGCCTCATAGAATGCGTCACAGAAAGAATAAGATAAATTTTACGTCTATTTTTAAACTGAACGATCGGAATAACTTAGGGATCGTGTGTAAGACGGAGAGCGAATGAGAACGCAAGGCAGCGAGTTATAGCGTGTGTGGGACGTGTTTAGCGAAAACGGATAGAGTATAACGTTTAATTTATTGCGAATTTTTAATTTGAGGTTACCGAGAATTGACAACATAATGTCAGTTTCAGATAATGAGACTGTGAGGAGTTCGTCGAGCAACTGATGTAGTAGACGAATTGTAAAATTTCTTAAATGAATTTGCGCCGCAGGTGTGTGATCGGGATCGAGTTGAGCGAAAGTAATATAAGGGAAGTTATATTCATAATGTGAAATCGAGAAATGTGATGAATTCGAGAACAAAGAAGCAATTAAGATCGTGCGTAATCAAGTCAGTCGGCTATCACTAGGTTTCGGTACTCGTAACTAGGGAGTTGTGTGAGGTACAAGTCCTGATCGGCAGGGCGCGCGAGGTCCACCCCCATTCCCCGTACTTAACCCTTGTATCTTATATATGAAATACAAGAAAGCTGAATAATATTTTGAACCCTTCATAATGGGAGGATTTGAGCCCTCCTGCTGGTGCCCCACTATCAAAGAATATCTTAAGGAAAATTTCTTTTTTTAATATTGATATGTTCGCTATAAAAAGCGTTATCAATATTGATGTTCATCAGTATACGTGTATAAATGGAAATGTGTATATGATTGACCCGTTATGCGTCCGTTGGAGGCAGAATCGAGTGCAACGTATACACACGCATATATATATATATATATATACATATATATATATCTATACATATGCACGCGTGCGCGATGTGTTATTTTCGCCGAATGAAGACATCGCGTGTACTCGTGTACATCGTTATAGCAAAACGTACACGGAACCACATACGTTCGCACATGTGTTGTGAGAACATATGTACGAATAAACATCTTGAAGTTTTACTCTCTTGGGAATAAACCCAAGATTACATTTTTAACTCTACACGACAGGTACGTAAAAATGGAAATCGTATGCGGGGCACCAGATTGAAGGGATAATTTTCAAGTCTAAACGCGATAGTGATCTTCTCATTAAGATCACTACTGCAAGTAAATGCAAGGGTGTACGGAAATGGGCAAATGGGCTTCGGCACCGGTCGATTGGAACCCTAGTTACGAGTGCCGAGCCTAGGGCCGAGAGGATTATGAGCCTCTTGGCTTTCATTAGGCATTGTTTAGAAAAAATGAGACAAGAATGAAAAGGATATAAGGAAAATGAAAAAAGAATTACGAAAAAATGACAAGAGTTACATGAGAGGAGAACATTGAAGCATTTTTTCCTGTCTTTAGATCACGACAAAGTAAGGAAGTGATTTTACAGCAATCCATTATTTCTGCGCGGAAACTTTTATATTTGATAAAATTGAATAGTATTGGCTATTAAATTTGTAAGATTATACACGGAGAGAATTTTTTTTAAATTTACTCTAAAAATATGGTAGTTGTGGTACAATACAATATTTTAAAGATTTTTACCATACACTTCAGTAAAATTGATCAAATTTATTTTATATTTCATTGTAGTTTTATTAATGAATGAGAGAGATTTACATTAAAATTCTTCGAAATACAATGTTGTCCCACGATTGTCATATTTTCAGAGTAAATTCTAAGAAAAAATTCTCTCCGTGTACGTTTTGTTATATAAACTAAGTCGATAATTTTACATTGTCATATAAATCAAGAATTTTTATGATTTATGATCGATATTTCAAAAAAATTATTTTTATTATTTTTTAAGTGCCGCGCTTAAATGATTGATTCGTGACGGATAATTTTATTACGCGTGTAGGATCTTCGAATGAGATGACGAAATGAAACAAAAAACTTGTTATGCGAGTTGCATATAAAGAAGATAAATTTCGTGTTGATATGAGAGTAAAATTAAAAATTGCAGAAAATAACGTGAATACTTAGTGCCATAGATTGCAGTGTGCACGCGTTCGCACCACAAGACTGTGTACTTAATTAAGTACTAATAAAAAAAGATCAATTTAGCATGTAACTCGAACATGGAATATTTTCAATATTTTTAGTGCTCAAGCGCATGAACACTGTTACCACATAATCAAAATGAAAAATACGTTCTTCTTCTTTCATTCTATCTACGCTTTTCGTTTTTTATTGGAGAATAGTATGATATCGTGGAAATAATGTGATGTTTTATCGCGTTTCAAATTTTATAATAATTTTTTAC